CCGCCGCACCCGGAGCCGCCTCCGGGGCCGCGCCGCCGCCGCCGACCCCCTCTGTGCTTTGTCTTCCCTCGCTCGGCGTCCCCGCCTTTGTCTGTCCCCCGCCCCGACCCTGCGCGCCCGGCCTCCGCACCGTCTCTTGGCCCCCGCTCGCCAGCCTCGGACAACTGGCCACCGGTCCCTCCGCTCCGCTCCCGGCGGGTCTGGTGGGTCGCGCCCGGGGAGAAGGCGGCGGCAGGGACTGGAGCGGAGGGCGCCGCGCTGCATCCCGGGGCGGTGCAAGTTCAGGTTGAGGCAGCTGGGGTCGTGGGACAAATAGCGCTCCTGGCGCGGCCCCTGCGGCGGAGGGAGAGAACCGGGGTGTGTCTGGGCTTTCCGCTGCCTCAGTTTCCCTTAGTTGGCCCTCCAGCGCAGTCGCCGGCGGTCTCCACCCCACCCGTGTGGACCCTGCACACTAACAGACCCCCCTGGGGCGGCCCGGCTCCCACGCCCCCTCGGGCCGCGGAGCCCTCCCGCCGCCAGGGGCCGTCCCCGCGCGCCCGTACCGCCCGCCGAGAAGATGGCAGCGGCGGCCGCAGCACGCGGAGCCGCTCCGCCCGGTTCGAGGCCGCGAGGCCGGGCCTGCCGCTTCAGGGAGGGCACCGAGGGACCTGTGTGCGGTCGCCTTCGTGCCGTCCGCTGGCCGCGGGGCCGGTCTACGCGCGAGGGGCCTGGTGGGATTCAACCACCTCTCTTCAGCGCCTTCTGCGACTCGTCGACAAGGGCGCTGGGAGCTGCTGCCCTTGGCTTCCCAGAGCGCTCATGCTCCCAAGACCCGACGTCCTAAAGCGCGTCTGTTACCAGACTTTGTAGAATTGGTCACCCCTGGCCTCTCTGAGGGCACTCCCTTCAGGGAGAGAGATTTCCATCCTTCAAATAAGCAAATCCCAGAACACCCAAACCTCATTTAACACAGGGAACCGTGAGAGGCCTGAAGATTTGAAGTGACTTGTCGGAGGTAGCAAAGCTAGCGCACAGGCAGCAGAGTTGGGTGAGAAGCCAGGTGTCCTATGCCTTGGCTCTTTAGTCCCTGCCTCTTGGCCATGCTGGTGGCTGACTCCACTGCCCCACAGGCCTGATGACCATCATTCCCTGATGGGCAAGTGGAGCTCAGCTGTGCTGGGGGAAGGCGAGGCAGTGGCCCCCCGGGACTGAGCTCTGCGGGCAGGCCAGGGGCCTTCCTGGGCACCTGCCACTGCTCGGCTTTGCCTGAAAACCGGCTGAAGCTGCCTCACGAAGCACAGCCCTAAACATAGCTTGTTCCGACGCTGTGGCAGAAATAGAACTGGTGGCTCCAGAGCCCCAGCCCACACAGTCATCAGTGAACAGAACAGCTCAGTGACTCCCGAGCCTGGCAGGGGATGGAGGGAGGCAGCAGGCTTCTTCGCCAGCCACCAACTGCTTCCTTGGCTCATGCTGTGCACCCCTCCCGACAGCTTTCTTCTTCAGCCTGGTGCTCTTCTCTAGAAGATTGCTGGTTTGCCTGAGCTGTAGGCCTGAGGACTCCCTGCATGGGATGTGTGGGAACCCTCTAAAACTGTGTGTGTGCATTTTGGGGAAGGAGGGGAGAAAGTTTCCAGCCCTGTGATCAGATTCTCAGAGGGTGGTTGTGATGCAAGAAAGGTGAGTCTCGGAGCACTGGGAGCAGGGCTGGGCTGGGGGCTGGTGCTATGCAGACCCTGCCCAGGACCCATCTGTAGGCTGAACTGCAGGTAGCTACCACAGGATCTGCAGCATGGGTGTTGAGGATGAGCTGACAGCAAGGTAAAGAAGGCAGCAGGTAAGGAAATAAAATGGGCTAATAGGGAACTTGAGGTTTTAAAAAAACAAAAATGAACTGGGAATGGGGAAGGAAGGGTTGGAAATAAATGTGACCTGACCTTCTCACTGTCACCTCCCACCCCCTGCCCCATGGTTGGTATCATTCCCTTCACCTCAGTCCCTATAACTGCCCAAAGGAAGAGGTTTTTATTTTTCTGTATAAACTGGTGTTAAAATTTCTGAGGAAAGAGAAAGTGAGGGCACTCGAGGGTTCAAAGGAGCTTAATGGAAGAGGGAGGGGCACTTCCTTAATCTGAAATAGAGAGGAGGGCACCTCACCCTGAGGGACTGACTAGTAAGGGGGGAACCTGTGCCAAACTGGCACAGCCCCATGAGGCACCACGGAGGAGACCAAGGTTAGACTCAGTGCCTGGCAGAAGTGCATGACAGACATGCATCTAGGCTCGGGCTCCCTGGCTGTGAGCCAGAATGAGAGGGGAGGGGGCAGGTCTGGTTCTTAGGTTACTTGCTCTTTGGGTATCAGTACCAACAGTAATGAGACACCATAAGTCATGTTACAATACAAAACCCTGTCTCTCCTCCTTTCCTGCCAGAGGTGTCTTCTGCCTCAACCCCTAGTGGCCCAGAAGTGGTCCTGTGGAGAGGTTGGTCTCCAGTACCTAGACCTGTCAGCCCCAAAGTGGCTTGGAGGCCATAGCCTCAAACTTTTAGACAGTTAAGAGACAAATCTATTACAGGGTTTAAAAGAAACTGGCATGTTGTGAGGCTGTCTAATGAAAGAAGACACTACTGCATTTCCACAAGCACTTCCGGGACCACTTTGAGACGGCAGAACCCCAGGCCGAGTGAATCGTGAGTGTGAGCCTGTGGGACAATCCTTGTCTGCACAGACACTAGGGAGCAGGGCTGTAGGACATATGCTGATGCAAACGCACAACAATGCCACTCTCCCGTGGATTCACTGAAAATTTTAATTTGTTCTGACAAATGAACCTAACACACAGCATAAGGACTTAAGCCCTCAAGCTAATAAGACGTTATGACCCTTGGAGAATGCACCAAGGCAGCTGGTAGGAGGAGTTAGGATGGATACTTGGTGGGAAAGGAATGATCTACACAGATGAATTACGGGAAGTAAGGCTCCAGGTTTTAGGTGCCAGGTCCCAAGGGACAAGGATGCACTACCCCAGCCTTAACCTGGCACTTACAACGGAGAAATACCCTTCCCTTCCGCCATTAGAGAGAACTCTGAGGGGAAGGGGGGCAGGTTGCCCAGGAAAAGAATGGAATTAGGCTGGTAGAGGAGCAAGAGATGGGAAAAGGAGGTCCCACAGTTCCCTGGGCTGATGAGTCAAACCCTGGACTTGGACTTCAGCCCCCAGGGCCAGAGCAGCAGCATCTCTTCCTTCTGAAGAGGTCATCTGAGCTCGCAGAACTGGGAATGTCAGCGTTCCGTCCCCCTCCCCCCCAACCCTGGTTGTTCCCTTGTGTCTCAAAAGCCTTGGAGCAATGAAGCAGAGTCTCTCTCCAGGAATTTCTTTCCCATTCAGAAAGCAGCCAACTCTCCTGGCAGACACGTCCTTCCTACCCAGTCTGCATCCAGGAGGGTGGGAATGGGGCCAGCCCTCAGGAAAAGCCCACGGAGGCTCCCATGTCTGGGCTGGAGAATGTGCAGAGCTTGCAGAGGCTCAGAACTCCCAGTCATCCACCTCCAGTTCTTCCAGGTTTGTTACGAGGCCAAAGATTCCACTGTGATCCTGAGCCTGGCTGCCCTCAAAATTGGTGATGGGTGTGACAGGACGAAGTAATTCAGGCAAAGCCTCTGAGGCACGTCGCTTGATCTGGGGGAGGAGAGAGAGTTGGGTGATGGATCCTGTTGCTCTGGGTTCCAGGACACCACAGGGCAAGGAACCACAGCCTAGTGACAGAGGGGCTGTTGGAGCCAAGAGTCTCTATGCGGAAGGAACAGTGCCTTTAAGGGGCTTCAGAAACAGTAATTTCTCCCAATTCAAAGGGAGGAGGAACGACATCTAAAGATCTCGCAGCTAACGGGACTGTGGGCAGTGAACCGCAGGAGAAAACACAGGACACTGAGGGGAACTGCTACGGTACCTGCTTGAAGAAAGAATGGTTCAGGAGGGTGCTGGCACTCGGCCTGTAGAGAAAGGAGAGAGAGAGCCAGATCACCCTCGTGCCCCAGAATCCCCAAATCCTGCTGCTTACACTTTATCTTCAAGGATCTCTCTACTACCCTCAGCTCACCAAGAAACAACAGGCAGAGCTAGCCATTCCGGCTCCTTAGCAAACCCTGTGCTGACCCCTCCTGCTGTGGGGGCTCCGGGTCGCTCCTGGGAGGCCAGCTCTTCACAGAACAGGCACAGCCTCTCAAAGTCTGGCTTTAGTGCCAGAGCTCCCTCTGCTCCCTGGAAAGCCCAACCCCAATCCACACAAATACCTTACATCCGGGTTGCGCTGAAGGCATTGTTCCACAAAGTGGTGGAAGTGGGGTGAAAAGGTGCGGTGATAGGGGTGGGAAGACGAGTCGCCGTTGGAGGTCCTGGGGGTGCTGGGGGCCAGGCTCTCACTCAGGCCCGAGTTGGCTCCCGAGCGCGAGGTGCTCATGGTCAGCTCCTCGGCGGGGATGGTGCTGGTGTCCAGCAGGCAGGGAACTGTGCCGTTCAGTTTCTCCAGCAGCATCTGGGGAGGACAGAGCCAGGACCTGGGCTGGAGGGGGGCCCCAGGAAGGCCTACAGTGCTGCTTCACAAATACACTTCTCCCAGTATACAAATATGATCTCTTGGGAGTAGAGAGAAGACGGAGGTGGAATAAATCAACTTTTCCAAAGGAATGCTGGCTACTGGCTTGGTAGCTACACACTATGCCGAACTGAAGAGGAAGAGGAGAGGGATTGCAAAAAAGTCCTCCCTTCACTATGACTGGAAGGAAGGGCTCACAGTTTCCCTCTCTAAGACATCAAATCCCTTTAATTCACAGAACCCTCACCCTAAGTGGAGGTCGCAGCCAAGTCACTTTCTCTGAAGCCCAGTCCTAGGTTACCATGCCGAGGTGGGTTCCACGGGGTCCACAGCATAGCACGTGGCACCACATCTGGCTTGTCACTGCAGCAGGCCACACAGCAGCAGTGAACCTGGGAGCAGGCCAAGCTCGAGTGGTTGTTCCAAAGCCCCAACTCAACACAGCTAAAACTAGCTGCCCTTTGGTGCTGCCTGTCCCCGTGGATGTCCCCATGAACTTCCTAAGCTGTCCAAGCCAGAAACCTGGAAATCTCTCTCCAGCTGTGCTAATACCATGGTGACTGGCCACATGTGGCTATTCATATTTAATTCAAATAAGATTTAAAATTCAGTTCCTCGGTCTCACTGGCCACGTTTTAACTTAAGTGCTCAATAACCATAGGTGGCTAGTCACTTTCATACTGGATAGTGTGGATAGAAAACATTGCCATGAACTTGAAAAGTTCTATTGATGGCGCTGCTTCTAGATCTCGACCTCCTGTTTACCCTAATTAGCCTTTTAATTCTCTTTCCAAAGCATCTTTCTGCTACTGTCTTACTTTACTTAGATCTCCTTTCCACACCCTTCTAACTGGTCTCCTAAATCCAATCCGTCCATCCTGCTGAAGTGAGTGATCTTCCTAAAATATGTATCTGATGGTATCACTCCTGTGCTTAAGACCCACATGTAACTCTCCACATGCTTTGGGACAGAAACCCAACACCCTAGCATGGCATACAAAGCCCTTCATGACCTGTCCCTGCCTCCTTCTCCAGCCACATCCCCACCAGCCCCACACAAGCACCTGATTTCAGCCACTTAAAACTACATGCCAATCCTCAGATGCTGTTCTTTCCGGACTCTGGGTCTTCGCACATGCTGTTCCTGTCTGAAAGAGGCTCCTTCTAGTCTCCTCTCTTTACACAAGTTAGTTCCTATTTGTCCTCAAAACTCAGCTCAAGTGTTAGCTTGACTGCCCTCCCACCCTGGGCCCTGCTCTGGAGGCATCCTCTGGCTGCACCCCTCCCCACAGGGCAAGCAGTCTGTGGGCTCACTCAGAGCCTGCACTCACTCCCTCCCAGTTCTAGACCACTCTCTAGGTACCTGGAACCCAGGTGATCCTTGCCCAGACAAGCCCAAGTCCACTTTCTGGACCTGATGAGGACTGGGTAAGCCTCTTCCCTGTGTCTGTCTTCCCAAGGGTGGCCTGGGCCATTGGCTGTGCACCCCTAGGTCCTAGGGGAAGCCAAGGGGCAGCCATTTGCAGGAAGAGAAGCTGAACTTGCAGGCTGGAGGTTCCACCAGTACTGGCCTGAATGTGATGGCATGGAAGTCTTAGAAGTCTGAGGATTCTAAATTAGAAACTCACCTTCCAGGTACACTTATCAAGGTAGGAGGACAGAACATATTTTATCAATGTAGAAAAATCTGTTAGCTTGATTTATACTTTTTAAATAGATACATGGTGTCATGGATTGAATTATGTCCCCCAAAAATGTGTGCATCAGTTTGGCTGGGTCATGATTCCCAGTATTGTATGATTGTGCACCATCCTGTAATCTGATGTGACTTCCTTATGTGGTATAAATTCAATCACTATGATCTAATAAGATGGATTAGCGGCAGTTATACTGATGAGGTATACAAGATTGGATAGTGTCTTAAGCCAATCTTCTTTAGATATAAAAGACAGGAATGAGCAGAGACACATGGGAACCTCATACCACCAAGAAAGCAGTGCCAGGAGCAGAACGCGTCCTCTGGACCTGAGGTTCCTACTCTGAGTTGCTCCCAGACCAAGGGAAGACTGATGACAAGGACTTTCCTCCAGAACCGACAGAGAAGACAAAGCCTTCCCTTGGAGCTGACACCCTGAATTTGGACTTGTAGCCTACTGGACTGCGAGAGAATAAATTTCTCTTTGTTAAAAGCCATCCACTTGTGGTATTTCTGTTATAGCAGCACTAGATGACTAAGACATATGGCATGTGGGCTTCCGTTTGCACTCCTGCTCGAGGCCCCGCAGCGGTTAGGAGAGGTCCTGCTCCTGTGTGCTGGATGCCCACCCCCTCCTCTGGGGTCCGTTACCACAGCATTTACCACAACGAGAAGTGAAGTTACACCACCATCTCCCCCATGGGGCAGAGCTTCTTGAAGGAAAGGACTGTCTCTTTTACCTTAGTGTCCCTGGCCAGTGTCCTGACTGTGGTGGGCACGCAGCAAACGTTTCTGGAAGGCAGGCAGGCAGGCAAGAAGGAAACCATGGGGCTACAGGCTCACCTGGGTGGCAGGCATATCCTTAAAGGGGACGTGGCCATTGGCCAGTTCACAGGCTGTGATTCCCACACTGTAGATGTCAGACTTGGCATCATAACCCTGAAGATTCTAAATTAGGGGGAAAAAGGCCACAGATGACTCAATTTGGCCTTTGTTAAAGGGGCAGAGCAAAGACTAGGGCGAGGAAAAGAACGCCTGTCCCCAAATCAGAAGCAGCTGCTAAAGACTTTCTTGCCTATACTAACCCACTGCTGTCGAGTTGATTCCAACTCATAGCGACCCCACAGGGTTTCTAAGGCTGTAAATCTCTATGGAAGCAAACTGCCATATCTTTCTCCCGCCGAGCAGCCGGTGGTTTCAAACCGCTAACCTTTCGGCTAGCAGTCAATCGCTTTAACCACTGCACCACCAGGACTCCTTTCTTGCCCATACTACTGAAGAGTAACTCTTTCTTTTAAAAGAAACAAATGTTTGATGATGTTATGTAGTAAGTAGGAAGAAAAGCTGGGCCCCATGCTCCTGCTCAGTACACAGATCTAGAAAGCAGTTCCAAGATGTCCACTCTTCCCAGAAGATGGGAAGGACCCCTGAAGGGAGTTGAAATAACATCAGGTGCAGTCTGAAATGCCACACAGGGGAGAGTACATCCACCTGTAATGGGCAGATAATAGCCTCACTGAGTGGGCTCCCAGGTACACCTGGCCAACAGGGAGCCCTCCCCCAGTCTGAGACCACATGGAAGTGGAGAATGCTCCCATCAATCAATTCCTGAAGGCTTCCTTGGAAACCCTGAGCTGAGGGGGAGGGGGAGTCCTCAGGATCTAGTACACCGACCTGCTGGAGGACCTCCGGGCTGAGCCAAGGCAGAACCTTGATACTGTACTTGGGGAAATCGTGGACCACACGCTGCCGCTGCCCATGGCTGATCATGCTGAGGTTGCTGCGTAAACCAGACAGGTAGACCTTCCCATCCACGGAGATCAGGATGTGGCTGGCTTTGACACTCCTGGGGAGGTGGAGAGGGGCATCACAGGGCAGCAGGAGCCCCTCACACTATCAACCTTTGGTCTTCACACTCTAGATCCACTCAGCTCTCTCCCCCAGCCCAGTGTGTGTGAGATACATGTATATAAGCACATTATGTATATATAAACAGATATTTTATGAAAATTTTCAAACATACATAAAAAGAGAGAAAACAGTATGAACTCATTTACCCACCACCAGATTCAACAACTTACATCTTCTAAGTTCCCTTTTATGCTCACAACCTCTTCCCCCTCCCTCCCACTAATGCCTTCAATCTACTTTTTGTTTGCAGGCATTCTTGTCAAGGGTACCGTTGCTCTGTATGCACGTATTTTAAATTTCCTAGCAGTTCTCTGTTACACACCTCAGTCTTCCTTTTTTCACTCATTACATCCATGCTATCTGTGTATGTTGCTGCCTTACACTCTGGGGTGCGGCTCTAACACTGCTACTTATCACTCTCCCAGTGGGGACATTCACACTGCGTCTAGCCACCACAAATATGAACACTGGCATCTGCGTACGTGTCCTCTCCTGGGCCCGTATGAGGGTTTCTTTGGGGTGTCCTGGGTTTGGAGTGACCGTAGCTAGTCTGTCTTCCACCATCTGGACAGGAGGGCTCCTGCAGCCTCACCTGCACTGGACTCGTCCAGCTTCCTAATTCCTGCCAGTCTCATGGGTATAAAGTGACATCTTGTTTTAATTTACTTTTCTCTGATTATTGCCATGCTCTTGCTCAATATGGAGATCTAGAAAGCAGTTCCACTCTTCCCGTAAAATGGGAAGGCTCTCTGAAGGGAGGGAAAACAGCCTCAGGTGCAGTCTGAACCGCCACAGAGGGGAGAGTACATCCGCCTGTAATGGGCAGAGAATGGCCTCGCTGAGCGGGCTGCCAGGTACACCTGGGTCTGAGTGTCTGTTCATATGATTGTTACTCTTCTGGGTTTCTTTCATAAGCTTCATATCCTTTGCTCACGTTTTTTGCTTTGCTGTCCTTTTCTTGTTGATTAGCAAGATTTCCTTGTTACTAACCTCCTATGTTTCAGACAAAGCAAACCTCTTCTTCCACTCTGTCAACCTGTCTGCTATTCACTTTGCTCATGGTGTCCTTTATTAGAGAGCTTTAGTCTTGATGTAATTAAATTCACCAATATTTTGCCTTATGTTTTGTTCTTCTAAGACTTTTAGAAGTTCTTCCATGCCTCAGGTTAGAAAAATATTTCCTCACATTTCCTTCTAGTTAAGCCTATAATTTTACATTTAAGCCTTTAATCCATCTGGAGTTCCCCCTCTGTATGTGGAGTTAGGTAGGGATCCAGTTTTATTAATCTCCCTGCAGTGAGCTGACTTTCCCAACACCATCAGCTAAGCAATCTCTGTTTCCCCAGGCCTCTCAGGCAGAGGACCCACTCTGTGCTCATACACCAGTCTGGGCACTCCAAGGAAGGAGGCTGAGGTGGGGGCAGGGGTCCATGACAGAGGTTCCTCTCATACAATACTCAGAACCAAGCAGCTCAGTAAAGAGAAAGTAGCTTCAGCACTGACAGGCTAAATGATTTATCAAATCAGAGGCAAGGCCAGAGTCTGGATCCTTGATTTCAAACTCTGGCTTCACTAACTTTAGTAAACTTTCAACTGTTTATTTGAGGGCTCAAGGGCACAGACACCTGCTTTAGCAAAGGGTGAACGCTCTGAAGAGCGGACCTGTGTACGTAGCCCATGTGGTGGATGTAGTCTAGGGCCTTCAGCACCCCCTGCAGGATGTAAGCAATCACCAGTTCATTCATGCCATCGGTGAAATGTGTACAGATGAGATCCTTCGCAGAACCTGCAAAACAAGAATCTGAGAGAGAGAGAGGAAAGGCAAGGGAGAAGGAAAACAGCACACGAGCAATCTGAAAACAAAGTTCTTAGCATTCCTCTCTGTCAGGATGTCTAGAAGAAGCACTTCCCCAACTTACCATATGCCATGAAAGATGTGACAACCCACAGTTCATTGTCGGCAATAAAGGTGGCTCGATATGGCACAATATTGGGATGGCTGAAGAGTTTAGAGACATGAAGCTCCCCCTGAAAGCAACAGTAAAGCTGAAGTCAGAACCAAGGGGCAATGAAGAGTGGAGCTCCACGTGAACGTGGCGGCATGAATAACACAGGGGCCTAGAGCTTTCTACATGCTCCTCTCAGACTCCTGGCAGCAGCCTGAGCAGGTTCCCTCCAGCCTCTCTCTACCGCAGTCTCATCTGTAAAATGGGGATGAAAATAATAGCCTAGATCATAAGCTGTTGTGGGAATTCGAGGAGTTAATTTAAATGTTATAAAGCATTTAAAACAGTATTTGGCATATAGGAACCACTCAATACATGTTAGTTATAATTAATAGTAAATGCTGGCTATAGATGAATAAAAGGAGCCCTGGTGGTGCTCGCTTGGCTGCTCACCAAATGGTCAGCAGTTCGAACCCACCAAATGCTTCCTTGGGAGAAAGATGTGGCAGTCGGCTTCCGTAAAGATTACAGCCTTGGAAACCCTATGGGGCAGTTCTACTCTGCCCTATAGGGTCACTATGAGTTGGAATCTAGTTGACAGCAACAGGTTTTTAGTATAAATGAATAAATGGCCCAGAAAGGAGCCTTTGGAGAAGAAGAAGGGAATATAAATTGGGCTGGGCAGCATTACGGAATCCTTAGTACCAAATTCCCAAGATTGTCCACTGAAAGCTTTCCTAACTTCTGATCATGTGGTCTGTCTTCGTTTCCTGCCAGGTGCTTTCAGAGGACGGATGTGAGAGATGCCTTGTAATTACTACTAGAACAAAGAGCCCACTGCCCTCCAAGTGTCACAGTCACGCTTTATTACCTGCAAGAACGTCACCATCTCATTGGAACAAGCTTCTAGGTTGATCCTTCGCACCGTCACATACTCTCCCGTTGGTCTGTACCTTGCTAGATTCACTGTCATCAGGTCCTCGAATCCTTTGCCTGAAAGAAAAGAAGGATCTCATAAACAGCAACAACAGTTCTCATCTTCCTTAAAGAAGAAAAGATTTGATTATATATATCTATATACATACATACACACACATATATATGAAAGTCAAGTTAAAACATTTGCTAATATTATTTTCAAGGCTAACATCTCTTGACTTCTTCTACTGGCTCCTTCTCAGCCAACCATTCTAATGGACGAGGTCACCAGAGGAATAGAGGCAAAAAGAAAAAATTGCAAAAGAGCTTCTCTCTTGGTAGCATGATCTCTTCCCACACTCGGCAGAAGAAAACCAAAGAAGACCCAAGAGCCAGTTTTGTCAGCAGAATCCCACCAACTGGCCAACTGCCTCTGGTGCTCATTCATCTAGGGATGTAAGAAAGCTGCAGCGGCCGCTGGAACATGAGAGTAACGGGGACCCTGGACATTACCTATAACGGTGAGTAGCTCATAACACCCTCCCTCTGGCAGAAAGCTACTCATGATCTCTTGTTTAGAGAAGGATGCTATCGACTCTGAGCTCGCCTCATTGGCCTAGAGAAAAAGAAAAATAGGTTAATAAGAGCATACTGAGGGTAGGAGTGGGGAAGTGGTAACTCAGACCCATCTAAGCACACACACAAACCCTGACTCTGGGGCAAAGAAATATTGCCAGCATTATTTGGAAAGAAATGCAAAGTAAAACGTCAGCTGTTCAATACAGTAATCAGCATAATATCAGAGCAAATATGTGTTAGCACCATCTGCAAAGAGGGGACAAGGGCCAGTTCCATTCAACTGTTGGTTTGCTTGTTCTTTCCAACAATTGGCTCATTTTCTTAACACTATGAAATTCTTGGGGAAAGGATGTCTAGAGAAAGGCACGTTTGGAAAAAAAGGGAGCCGGGAGAGGTGGAGGGTCTCTAGGATTTAGGTCCTGTCCACGAGATCCCAAAAGATCAAACACTGAATCTTGAGGGGAAAATGTGGCCATAAGAAGCCCCCTCTTACAGCAAACAAAGAGCACAGACCAATCATTCCTGACGTTTCCAAGTGAAGTGCAAGAACAACTGACATGCTGAGTTCCTGGGAAGGAACAGAGCTGTCAAATTCTCAGCCATCGTCTGGGCAGAAGCAGCCAGGGTTCCTGCCCACTCAGGCTGCAAGTGAGGTTGGCATCCAGCCATTTAGGGTGTGGATGTCTCGCCTCTGAGCTGCTGAAGGAAGCTGACCCGGGTAGACCAAGAGACCAATAACTCTTCTCTAAGCTTAACAGCCTTGATTTCCTTCTAGACCTAAATCGGTATGACTAACGGACTGTAAGTCGTTTTCTTTGTTTTGGATTCTTTATTCAGATGTGTGTCTAACTGACATGGAGAGGCCTTAGGCCAGCTCACATTTCATATGCTGTCCTCATAAACGTGACCTCTAGTCAGGAAAGGCTCCTGGCTCAGCACTAGTCAGAGGGTGTGAGTTGAGAATGTCCTGACAAGGTGATACTTGAACTACTAGGGAAGTGGCTCTGTAGAAGAGCCCATAAAAATGATAGTGCTCTAGCACCTGTGCTTTGACTATCATAGACTTTCAGAGCACCTCCACAATGCTTCTGACCATCACCATAACTCAGTGGGGTAGATGGAGCAGCTATCATCTCCATTTTTCAGTAACAAAACTGAGGGTCAAGGAGTTGAAGCGACTTGCCAAAAGTCAACATGTTGAGTACACATGAACACAAACAGGATGCAGGCCCAAGCCAGTGAAATTAATATATCACCCTACTGGGGGTCCCTGACATTTAGAGCCTATCTGATTTCAAAACAGTCGATGCTGATGGGGAAAGAAACCAATCCGGGCTCTGCCTCCTTAACTTCTGACATTGACAATAAGGGAAACCTAGTCAAGCAAAATTGAGCTCAGTTAGCAATCAGGGTCCATTTCTAATATAATCAATTTTGATATTTCTAAGATCCATTTTCTTGCATTTAGCTGTAGTCTACCCATTTTCACCGTTTGTTATAATATTCATTTTGAGAATACACCTGAATTTACTTGTCCTTCCTATGTTGATGGGCAGTTGGGCTGTTTTTTAGTTTTCTGCTCTTATGAACTGGTCTACTGTTAACATGCTTGCATCAACTCCTGATGCATAAATGCAAGTGTTACTCTAAGGCTCATACTTAGGAGTGGACTTGCTAGGCCACAGAGTATATGAATGGTCTGCTTTACAAGATCATGTCATACTGTTTTCCAAAATGGTTATGCCACTTTACACTCTCACCAGCAATGTATGTGTTCTTGCTGATCCACCTTTTCCTAACACTTGACCTTTTCAGACTTCTTAATGCAAAGACTGTATGTTTAGGGGACAGATGAAGGACAAAATAGGCAAAAGGAGCAGTAATTTGAGCAAAAACTCTAAACCAAGAGGTCAAAAATGTTTAGAATTTCAAGCTGCATGCTAATTTAGTCTTAAAGAGTCCCATCCTCTTAACTTTATACCTCCAACCCCACACACATTCCTGCTCTGCAGATTCTGTTTTCTCAAGTATCAATGTACTCCTCAGTAAAATCAATGCCACCAGCTAGTACAACCCAGGGGGCTGCTTTCAGACCCAAACTTCCTGCTCTGGCCTATAAGGATCCACATGACTCAGCCCCTGCCTCTGTGAACCCACCATGTCCCCCTCCCCTCACTCGCTACACTTTACCTACACAAACAAGCACGCTCTAGTCTTAGGGAATTTGTACTCTCCCTTTGTTTGGAATAGTCTAGCCCTACTCCTCCCCACCCTGCCATCTTCTCATCACATGCTCTTTCTTGTCATTGAGGTCTCAAATGTCATCTCTTCAGAGAAGAGTCTGTTCTGCCAAAGACAAGAAGGTTCCTGGTCACTTTATGACATCACCTTCTTTGCTTTTTTCCCAGCAGTTATCACTGCAGTTTCTTTATCTGTGGCCTGTCTCCTCCATTAGAATGCAAGCATATGATCTTCACCATGTGAGGACAAGGGCCCTGTCTGTTTGTTCACTGATGTATTCCCCAATGCCTAGAACAATGCTGGCACATACTTGTTAAAAAAAAGTCTTTTAAGCAAAGTTTGAATTGAGGAGGTTTTCTGCCCACAGCCTTATCATTCCCATGGACTGAAGAAGGGAGTAGGGCAAATACACTGGCCAGTTCTTTCGAGACAGGGTTCAACATAATGACCTCATTGGAAATGGCAGCCCTCATACAACACACTCCCTAGACCCCTGTTACTAGAGGATCTACAGATGAGAATCTGATCCCTACAAATGAGGAAGCACTGAATTTTAGCAGATAACAAATATGGCCCCAATGAGAAGCAAATCTAGAACTACTTTGAACTTGTAGGTCTTGTCTCCTCTGATCTCCAGGCAAACTTATTTCTCTAATTTGAAAAAAAAGCAAAGACTATGAGGGGCAGCTGAGTCTGAGATTAAACTGTTGCATATATGCACTGTTACGGACTGAATGGTGTCTCCCCAAACTATGTGTTGGTAATTCCTTACAAGGACCTTCCTCCAAGGCCAACAGAGACAGAAAGCCTTCCTCTAGAGCCGGCACCCTGAATTCAAACTTCTAGCCTCCTCAACTGTGAGAAAATAAATTTCTGTTTGTTAAAGCCACCCACTTGTGGTATTTCTGTTATAGCAGCACCAGATAACCAAGACAGAATTTGGTACTGGGAGTAGGGTGCTGCTCTAATAGATACCTAAAATGTGGAAGTGGTTTTAGAGTTGGGTAATGGGTAGAGGTGGAAGAGTTTTAAGGGTGCCTAATAACAAAAACCTAGACTGCCGTGAAGAGACTGTTTTAAGAATTATAGACCCCAAAGGCAATTCTGGTGAGGGTTCAGAAGGAAGTGAGGAGAGCCAGAGAGAAAGTCTCTATCGTCTTAGGGAATACATATGGCACCAGCAACAGAATGTTGCTAGAAATGTGGATGTTAAATGTGCTTCTGGTGAGGCTTTAAAAAGAAATGATGAATGTGTGATTGGACAGTGGAGCAAGAGCGATGCTTTTTATGCAGTGGCAAAAAACTTGTTTGAATCATGTTTAAATATTTGGTGGAAGGCAGAACTTGTAAGTGATGAACCTGGATATTTGGCTAAAGAGATTTTTAAGCAAGATCTTAAACGGGCCGTGTGACTTCTCCTTGCGGCTTATAGTAAAATGCGAGAAAAGAGATGGACTTAAAAATGAACTGTGCAAGATGAAAACAAACCTTAAAGATATGGAAAATTCTGTTGTACAAACTAAGGGCACACGTCCTAGAATTTTCACCAAGGATGTAGCTACATGATCTTTTGTTAAAGAGATGAAGCCAGTGATTGATAGATCTAACCAACTACCACAGCCGAAAACCCATCAGCTTAGACTGAAGGGGACAGAGAAAGAGCAAAAGGAAAGAACGCTGTCTGCCTCTTGGAATTCTACAGGCAGGTAACAGGCCAAAGGAGCTACATCTATTGTTCTACAAGAAAAGAAAAGAACCATCCCTGGGGCAGCTCAGAGATCAGTGGAACTGTTGGAAGGAGCAAGGGAAGCAGAGCTGCTTCAGTCACAAAGGGTGGGGCCATGGCCTCTGGGGTCTCAAGGGGTGGGGTCGTGGCTACTGGGGTCTCAAAGGGTACAGCCACGGCCTCCTAGGTTTCAGAGTTACATCTTCACCAACTCGGTTCCTGAGCGTGGGGCTGCCATTCAGTTTGGCCAAGAGGATGGGGCCGCAGCCCAAAGCTAAGGGGGCAGGGCTGCCATGCCCAAGGTGTAAAAGAATGGGGCCTGCTGGGGCTGAGAGGGTGGGGTTGCCACTCAGATGTTCTCGGAGAATGGAGCTGCCCAAAATCGAAGGCGCAGAGTTGCCATCCCAGTAGGCCTGGAAGGAAGGGCTGAAGCCCAGAGCCGAGGGGCCTATACCCAGAATCTGGAGGGAATGGTCAACACCCAGAGTCTGGAGGGCAGGACCATCGCCCAGATGGTCTCAAAGAACAGAGGATTATTTCCAAGCCTTGAGAGCTAATGTAGTTTGTTCTGCTGGGTTTTGGACTTGCTTGGTGCCTGTATCCCTTCTTTCCCTCAAATTTCTCCCATTTGTAAAGGAAATGTCTACCTTGTGCCTGTTCTACCACTGTACTTTGGAAGCAGATAATTTATATTCTAGATTTCACAGGCTCACAGATGAAGAGGAATTTTCCCCAGGATGGAATACGCCTAAAGTCTCATCTAGATTTGATTTAGATGATTCAGAAGATGAGACTTTAGATGTACAGTTGATTTAAGATTTTTGCAATGATGTGATAGGGTGAAGTGTTTTGTATGTGGGAAGGATATGGATTTTGGGGGGCCCAAAGGGTGGAATTGTTACAGATTGAATGACTATGCAAACGCATTTGACTGTGTAGATCATAACAAATTGTGGATAACATTGTGGAGAAAGGGAATTCCAGGACACTTAACTGTGCTCGTGTGGAACCTGTACATAGACCAAGAGGCAGTCGTCTGAATAGAACAAGGGGATACTGCGTGGTTTAAC